ATTAAAGCAAAAACAATTACAAGTGGACTTAAGTATTCTCTTGCTACTGGGAACTGGGGACAAGCAAATGCAGCTGGTACAAGAGCAGGAGTTTCACAGGTGAGCTTTTCTCTGATCATATTAACATCACTTGTATAGACTTTTTTCTTTTTCATCTTTTTCTGTTGGTTCACTTTTATATGCATATGCTTAGACAGGTTTTGAATCGTTTGACATTTGCATCTACTCTTTCTCACTTGCGTAGATTGAACTCACCAATAGGGCGCGAGGGTAATTTTCTCTTGCTCTTAGAATTGACTTCATTTGTTCTTTCGGTGGTTTCTTTGTCACCAGTCTCTTATACTTGGTAACCAGGTAAACTGGCAAAACCTAGGCAACTCCACAATTCTCACTGGGGAATGATGTGTCCAGCAGAAACGCCTGAAGGACAAGTAACATGATACATGATTTCATATGGTAATTGAGTCAAATGATTATTAGAACACTATGCAACATTATGTCTGTTGGTGATATGTCAGGCATGTGGGCTGGTAAAGAACCTTGCACTAATGGTGTACATAACAGTAGGATCAGCAGCAAATCCAATTTTGGAGTTTCTAGAGGAGTGGAGTACTGAAAATTTTGAGGTAGGCCATTCCTGGAAGATGCTCATGGATCTCAGGTTCTAGTTTTTTCACAAGTTTATGACATTCTTTTACTCTAGGAAATATCTCCCGCGGTTATTCCCCAATCTACCAAGATTTTTGTAAATGGTTGTTGGGTTGGCATTCATCGTAATCCAGATCTATTGGTTAGGACACTGAGACAGCTGAGGAGACAGGTTTTGCTACCACATTATTTTCTTCTCTTTTTTATGTAGTTTGTTGACAATCATACACTTGAGTGATGATTGTTCCTGCAAGTTTTAGATATTGACTTATGAGAATTTAAACTCTTGTTCTCATTAGGTTGACGTTAATACTGAAGTTGGAGTTGTGCGCAATATAAATTTAAAGGAACTGCGGCTATATACAGATTATGGACGCTGTAGTAGGCCGTTATTCATTGTGGAGAAAAAGAAGTTAATAATAAAGAAGAAGGATATTATCGCATTGCAGATGAGGGTATGTACTATTTACAAGATTGAATCATTCTAACCTCAGTCCCATTGACCTAGCTTGTGCTGATCTCAGGAGTCATCTGAAGATTCTGGCTGGCATGATCTTGTGGCAAAAGGATTTATTGAGTATGTTGATACAGAGGAAGAAGAGACTACAATGATTGCAATGACCATAAATGTAAGAAGTCATGAGCTGTAGATGTTGCTTTACAATGTTACTTCCTAATGATGACCAAGAAATATTGCTGCTGGCCTGCTTCTTTTGAAGCATAATCATCCATTTCTTGACTTTCAAGTGCTTCTTAGTCAATCAGAAGTAAATTTAGTGGTCTTAGACTTGAAATTTCTATAAAGCGATTTTCCTGGTTAACCTTTTAGGATCTTACAAATTCAAGGCTGAACCCTGAAGAGGCTTATTCTGAAACCTACACGCACTGTGAAATCCATCCATCTTTGATATTGGGAGTATGCGCTTCTATCATACCATTTCCTGACCATAACCAGGTGAATCTTATGTTTTATGGTATTTGTTTGATAAATGTTTCAAGACTGTTTCCCCATAATATCTAAATGTCCTATCAACTAGCATCCTTTTTCCTTTCTTAAACCCCTTCCTTATCTTCTGCTATATTGTCTATAATTTCAACATGATGCAGTCCCCTCGTAACACATACCAATCAGCTATGGGAAAACAAGCAATGGGGATTTATGTCACCAATTACCAATTTCGGATGGTGAGATACTTTCTATCTACTGCTGCAAGCTTTCCTCTATTCTTCAGTTCATCACTTCCAAGTGTTTTATAGTTTTTCTGATTCTTGATAATTGCTCGCTTATGCTACATACAGGATACATTGGCCTATGTACTGTATTATCCGCAGAAGCCTCTTGTTACTACACGTGCTATGGAGCACTTGCATTTCAGGCAGCTTCCTGCTGGCATTGTAATTAAGCACCAGCTTATTGCTTGCCTTCATTATTAACTTTTTTGCTTTATAGTGATCATAACTTTTCCTGTTGGATTTGCAAAAGAATGCCATTGTTGCCATTTCCTGCTATTCTGGCTATAACCAAGAAGACTCCGTCATCATGAATCAATCTTCAATTGACCGTGGCTTCTTCCGCTCTCTATTTTTTCGTTCATATAGGTATGTAAGCCTCTTTTTATTTCATATAATCTGCTGTTTCTTTCGCTGATCAAACTCATTTCTCCGTTTTCCCTCAATAGAGATGAAGAGAAAAAGATGGGAACACTTGTTAAAGAGGATTTCGGGCGTCCTGATAGAGAAAATACCATGGTTGGTTTTTCTATTGGTCACTATCTTCCTTCAGACTCCATCCCTCTTTCTAAAAGACATTTGGACAAATAAAGAAAGAAAGGAAATAGTATAAATAATAGTTGTGCTTTTTAAATGAGTAAATCTATTTTCTACTTGTATAATGTTGGATTATGGTTATAAATTCTTGCAGGGAATGCGACATGGATCCTATGATAAATTAGATGATGATGGATTTGCGCCTCCTGTTAGTATTACTAGCAAACACCAATTCATCATTCTGCTTCATTGAGATGTGCTTAAAATTTTGATCTCTGATATTTTTTGCTGATGCTAGGGAACAAGAGTTTCTGGTGATGATGTTATAATTGGAAAGACCACACCCATTTCTCAAGATGATGCTCAGGGACAATCAGCAAGATACACACGAAAAGACCACAGTACAAGTCTACGGCATAGTGAAACTGGAATTGTGGATCAGGTCCCTAATCCCTATACATTTAATTGTGCTTCAGTTTTCCTAGTCCTTTCCCTATTAAGGGGAAACTCTTCAGAATGAGAATTTTAAAAAAAAAAATTGTGATGGTTTTGTCCATATTTCTTGTTTGCCTTTATTTTCAGTTTTAATCATTTGCTAAATATCTTGTTAATCAGTTGTTTCCTTGCTTTAAGTAGGTTCTTTTGACAACAAATGCAGATGGACTGAGATTTGTCAAAATAAGGATGAGATCTGTCAGAATTCCACAAATTGGAGATAAATTCAGCAGCAGGCATGGACAAAAAGGAACGATAGGAATGACTTATACACAAGAAGACATGCCATGGAACATTGAAGGCATCACCCCAGATATCATTGTGAATCCACATGCCATTCCTTCTCGTATGACAATTGGTCAGCTAGTTGAGTGTATTATGGGGAAGGTTGCTGCTCACATGGGAAAGGAAGGAGATGCTACCCCTTTTACTGATGTTACTGTAAGTTCAGGAAGTCACTTTATAAAAATAAAGACTTCGAAATTGTAAATGCAATTGAAACAATACACATCTTCAGATTTATATAATAATGAGAGAAAAAATGTGTTTGAGTTAGTACTATATTTAGAGATGAAAGAATGTGCCAGGAGGTTCATGAACTACTGGTTTATCTAATAAAAATAAGGGATTAGGACTTTTTATTGAATATGATTGATGATGCGTTCACAGAGACAGATTACAAAAATGAACTAACCATTTAATACTTTCAGGTGGATAATATCAGCAAAGCTCTGCACAGGTGTGGTTATCAGATGCGTGGTTTTGAGAGAATGTATAATGGTCATACAGGCCGTGTATTGACCGCAATGATATTCTTGGGGCCAACTTATTACCAGAGGCTGAAGCACATGGTGGATGATAAGATCCATTCTCGTGGTCGTGGTCCTGTGCAGATTCTCACTAGACAGCCTGCTGAAGGAAGATCTCGGGATGGAGGCCTACGATTTGGGGAGATGGAGCGTGACTGTATGATCGCTCATGGGGCTGCACATTTCCTCAAAGAGAGGCTATTTGATCAAAGCGATGCTTACAGAGTTCATGTATGCCAGCAATGTGGTTTAATTGCAATTGCTAATCTAAAAAAAATGTCATTTGAGTGCAGATCTTGCAGGAACAAAACTGATAATGTTCAGGTACAATCCTCCTTTTGCTACCTTTGTTCAGCTCTCCAAATTGTGCACACACCCAATTTGTTAAAAGACCTTAATACTTTTTGCTGATCTTCCTGGACATGCCTGAAATGTGTAGGTGTATATTCCTTATGCCTGCAAGCTTCTGATTCAAGAGCTCATGTCAATGGCAATCGCACCAAGAATGCTTACAAAGGAACCAAAACCATCCAGTGGAAAGAAAGCATCCTGACGGCAACTCCCCTTTTAAACTCTAGTTCTGCACACTTGGTCTATCTACTGGACATCCTAATGATTTTTCTGGATATTAGAAATTGCAAGATTACAGTGCAAATATAAATGAACTCTTTCCTTAGTGTTTCCAATAGCTTGTGCTATGTCAAAGCGGAAGTCAACTGGTTGAACCTGTGACTTTAACGAAGTGCCCTTACAGAATGAGACTGCAAATAGTACAAGTATGTTCAGGTTAGCAGGGAGATTGCACAACTCAGTTTTGATTGTTAACATTCCAAGTTCCATGATGTCATAACCAAAACAATAATAAACGTTCCTTCCCATCCTGATGCATTCTATGCCTAATCTCCCAATCATTGCTACCAATAAATGATCTACCTGACCTGAGTAACACATCATGAGAAAGCACCTTGGTAGCTAAGTCCTCTCACTGAGCCATTGGTATTTGACTGCTAATTTTCTTTGTTCATTTAATAAACATTGAAGTAGATTATTAAACTAAATATTCTATTTTTGTTTTTAATTAGATGTCATCAAATAGAATCTTTTATAGACAGTAAAGTTTGATCGCATCTAGATTTTTGCTTATTTTTTAAATGTCACTGTCGTTCATAAGAATGCAATCTCACTCAGGCAAGAGACAGAAAGAGAAAAATATCCTAGTAATATATTAATTTATACGGATAGGTGTAAGGAATCTTTACAACAGCACTTGAGCAGAAGTTTGAGAAATGAAAGGCTCCAATATGTTACTATTGTTGAATCATTATGATAATCAGACCATAAGAAAACTCAATGCATTACTGAAAGTAGAAACAGCAGGATAACAATAAGATAAACCAGCAAAATAAGTTAGCAGCTTTGTCAAGCAAAGACAGACTTCTATTTAGAACTAAGAGATAGAAACATCTTGATCAAGATCTAGCTCAAAATGAACTAGCATTCAGCTTATCCAGGGTCTTCTGCAGATCTTCTTTAAAGGTATGCATTGAACTCTCAAACTCCCCCACCCTTGCCATCATATTTTCAATAGACTCCTTTATAGCAGTGCATTCAGGGTTACAAGGCTGCAAAATAAACCAAAAATTAAATCAACAATTTTATTCACCTCAGTCTAATACAAGGTCTTAACAACATAGAAAATACTACTGAAATGTACCCCAGGAGATGTAACGTGAGCCTGATTCTCAGTAGCTGGAGAAACTGCGATTGTGGACACAACCTGTGTTTCCTTGGAGTCTGGCATAATCTCAGCAGAAGAGCAGACAGTATTTTCTGCAGAATTAGAAGCAATTTCCTTAACATCTTCATTTGATGTTGGCTGGGCTACAACAACCAGTAACTCAGCCTCTTGAAGAAAGAATTCTCGGGTTTCATCATAGTCCAGTATTGTAGTGTCTGTTTCAGACAACAGATCATGGTACTTCTCCCACATCTCTTCAGGTGACATGGAATAAGACAATGAATCATCAGCCTTCTCAACTGTATCTTTAGGTTCCCCAGTCAATAGCTCTGTTTCCTTACTATCATTGGACACACACACACCAGGGACTAATAGAGAAGTGATTTCTTTTTCTCTAGTATCATCAGACACCACTCCCAAAGATTCATTTTCTTTCAAATTTTCACCAGACTCTTTGCTTTCAGTAATGCAGTCGGCATTTTGAGACACAACCGGTACATCATTTGACACTACATTGTCCACATTGGATATGATATTCAACAAGGGAAATTCATTTTCTTCGATTGCATTATCATCTACAGTTGCAACCTTAGTTTCATCAGCAACTTCTCCAAGGGACTGATTGGATTGTTCCAATTCCTTGTCAACAGAAGCTGCTTCATGCAAAATAGCACCTTTGGCCAACTTTTCAATTGGTATAGTCAATTTGACAGTAGAAACTGTGGTAAAATCCGCATGAGTAAATCAATAATGAGCAAAAAGAATCACACAAATTTAGAACTTAGGAAGGGATATAAGCAGTGGCGAACGCACATGGTGGCAAGCGGGTTCAACTAAACCCGGTTCATCAAAAAATAATACTCCCTCCGGTTCACAATAAGTGTCCAATTTGCTTTTAGCACGCCTATTAAGAAAATAATAAATTCTATACAAAAATAACTACTATGACTAAACTAGTCCTAATTAAACATTTAATGTGAGGAGTAAGAAAACTTTTTAGGCATATGTACATAGGGGTTATTTTGTAAAAACAAATTGAATTCTTTCTTGATTACATAACTGGACACTTATTTTGAACCAAAATGAAAAAGTAAATTGGACACTTATTGTGAACCGGAGGGAGTANTCTTAAATACGGGTGCACATTTATGTGACCCAAATCCAAATCTCAACGAAGTCGAAATGTGTCAAAAATTGCGGGTGCATTTATGTGACGCGATTCGAGACATGTTTTCACGACGTTGCAATTCTCTTAAAATAATGATAATAAAAGCGGTTCAAAGTTAAAAGGTACATAGATTAAAACATGTTTTGAAATCAGATAAATAAGCCAAATATGACAGTTGAGCGACCGTGCTAGAACCACGGAACCCGGGAATGCCTAACACCTTCTCCCAGGTTAACAGAATTCCTTACTCGAATTTCTGGTTCGCGGACTGTTAACAGAGTCATAATTTCCTCGATTCGGGATTCAACCGGTGACTTGGGACACCATAAATCTCCCAAGTGACGACTATGAATCTCTTAATAAACGAATCCCGTTTCGATTGACCTTTAATTGGAAAAACTCCTTTACACCCTTGCGGGTGTAGAAAAAAGGAGGTGTGACGGGGGGCAGCGTACCGGGAATATAGAAGCTTCACCGGCTTTGCAACTTGTCCGAACCTCATTCTAAAATTGGATATGACTCTAACAGAAGAGAAGTTACACGAAGTGCACCCTTCCCAGATGATTTAGAAGACTCAGAGAGAAGAGGGTTTCGTAGCTATTTATACACAATCCAAACAATATCAAAGCGATAAAAGCGGCATTTAGCACATTAGGCTCAAATGTGTAAAAATCAGATAATAAATAAAGCAAGGTATAACAGTTATTCTAAGCTCGAATTCTGAACCCTGAACCAGAAGTTCTGGGTTCTTATCCCCAACAGAGTCGCCAGAGCTGTCACACCTCTTTTTTACACACCCGAAGGTATATATAGGGAGTTTTTCCACTTTAAGTGACATTATTCGAAATAAGATTATTTATTCAATTCAGAGTCGCCACTTGCGATAGTTTATTTGGTGTCCCAAGTCACCGGTTTATTTTAAATCCCAAATCGAGGAAATTTCGACTTTCCTTTTGAAGTCTGCGAACCAGAAATTCTGAATAAGGAATTCTGTTAACCCGAGGGAAGGTGTTAGGCACCCCCGGATTCCGTGGTTCTAGCACGGTCGCTTAAACTATTATAATTGGCCTATTATCTGACTAAATAAATGTTTTAGCCTATGGTATATTTTAACTTATTAACCACTTTTAATTAATTTTAGGAAGATTCAACGTTATCTAAAACATGTCTTAAACCAAGTTACATGAAATGCACCTGCGGTCCACAACACATTTTATCTAACGTTGTTGAGAATTGGAGTTGGGTCACATGAAATGCACACCCGAGTTTAGAAAATTAATTTTTAAAATAGCGCGCCTAAAGCAACTACGTCCTTTCAAGTTTGCGAGGGTCATGGAAAATTCACTAATCGCACACCTCGATTCTAATTGTTCAAATAATTTCTCATTTAAAATTATGAGGGCCATAGACTATTGGTGTTATTTATTATGGCACACCTCAACTAATTAAAAGTCTAGCTAATTTAAAAGGGTCAAAGAAATTATAATCAATTGAGGCTAAGGTTCGAACTTAACTTAATAATTAAAGGCTTGCATTAAACTAAAATAATCGTTCAATTTTCAAGGCTTGGGCCAGCAGTAGTCATCAGCTGAGATGACTGTATCGAAGAGAAAACAGACCCACACATGATAAAACGTACGATTCTCCAATTCACAAGGGCCTTCAGGTTTGGGCCCAAAATGAGCCCAATTTTAGTGGAAGAATGAACACCAAAGACATAGAACATGAAATTGAATTAATATTTTTTAAATTCTGAATTTTAACTATTTAACGACAAATCAACTAGCTGAAACTTCTGAATTTTAGCTTTTATGCATTTTGGGCCAAGTCTGCTGTGGAAAAAATCCGGTAGCAACAAATAAACGAGCTACTGGGCTCAAGAAGCAAGCCCAAGTAGCAATGGCATACCATCCTTCCTTGCAAATGGCCTCAAAGTCCAAGGCCCAAGGAACTTAAACCTTGCAAAAGCCAAGGCTGAAGAGCAGGACTCCATGTCGAGTCCATACCAACACAGAAGCTTTAAAGGCTACTAACTCACATTACACTAAAAAACAACAGCACATTCTTGACTTTCAATTACACTGACAACAAAACCATCCAGATGTTCATGCTTAAATTCAATTCTAAGTTAATTCACGCATAGACATGTGACATGTAGCCTCAGCTAAATCCTTTCTCAATACTAATAGTAACAGAATCCAGAAATTAACACCATTCGCTTGAATTCAAAATCATACCTAACTCTCAAATAGCACAGATTCATTTTTACAGCACATTAATGACATGAGACAACTGAGATAACATGTATAATATCGGATCTGCTACAAAACACTAGGAGTCTGTTTGGAAAGCCACCCTGTAATTGGAATTGGTGTAATTACTAGGGTAGTAATTACACAGCCTAGTAATTACACAGTTGTGTAATTACGACGACCTGTTTGTTTGTCATAGAGTAATTACAGTATAATTACATATTTACTTTTTGGTTGCGCAAGTGTAATTACACAGTTAGATTAAATTTTAAATTAAATAATTATTGAAACTTAAAAGTTAATATAATAAATATATGCTTATAAACCTTTATATGTATTAATCATATTATATTTGGTATTTAAGATGTATATTTTTTTCTTGAATATACGCCAATTTAGTAATCATATATTTATAACTAATATTGTATATATATATATATATATATACATATAAATTAAAAATATACGTTTTGTAAGAACATCATGGAATTCATTTTTGATAAAATAAATTAATATTTTAAATATAATCGTAACATTATTCAATTGTTTCACAAAACTAATCTATCATTTCTACCTAAAAAATGAACAACATGTAATGTGAGCCAATACTACTAAAACAAGTAAATTAGAACCATGAATATAACATAATTTCAAAATTTAAAAAAAAATATAGTTTAACATATGTCGAATTACAACATAATAATAGTAAGTTCCACTGCAACTTAAGATTAGGAAACATGATAAGTTTATAACCATATTCAACAACGAAATTTTAATTTAATTGCAACACTCATTATATGCCAAGTTTGTCAATGTCTCATTATTTTTAATATTAGGAGGTGTAGTTTCAAAAATAAAAAAAATAAAAAAATAAAAATATAAGCAATTACATGGAATCACAAGAAGTAAAGATAGAGAAATAAAAGATAAATAATGTAAAAATAAAAATATATTTTAAAACTTCAAAAGAAATTAAAAAGTAAAAATAAAATTTAAAATTTAAAATAGTAGAAATAAAAAGTTATAAAGAAAATAAATTAAAATAAAAACAAAAAGGAAAGAAACTAAAAAGCAACCTTGTAATTACACAGTGTAATTACCACCAATTCTCACCTCCCCCTTGAGAATTGGAGAGTGTAATTACACCCCCTCCAATTACACCCAATTCCATGCTGACCAAGTAATTACTTGGTCAAACAAACATGTCAAACTGTGTAATTACACCCAATTACACCCAAATCCATTTCCAAGATGGCTTTCCAAACAGGCTCTAAAAATAAAATATTCAAAAACTACAACAGATACCATGATTTGCACTTCTCTTCCTATTACAATAAAACTGCGATGAGCTAGACGTCCTATCACTCATGTATACTCATGATTTGCACTTCTCTTCTTATTAGAATTGTACTTTATTTAGGATTCCCCTACTATATAATGGGGACCCCAATCATTTGTAACGCATCAATCATTGAGAGAAGAATATACATATTTCACTTTTTTGCTTACTGTTCATCTGATTTGCCTTATTATTTTATTGGTCTTATCCATCTACCTCGAGGTCGCCATTGCTCGAGGTCGAGGTCTGCTTACACGACTGGTATGACTTGCCTTACTCTTTGATTTATACATTAGACTCCTTGTTTATCAATTAGTATTGGATTAAATCACATATCTTTAAGACCTCAATACAAGTTTAATTGTTACTCGGATTTTAGGGTAAACAGTTTGGCGTCCACCGTGGGGATAAAGATAATAGTGATTATTTCAGTACTGCTTCTGGTAACACACGTTATTTTCACACTTGTTCTTGTCAAGAATTTTTTGTTCTCGGGTTAAGACATGTCAAACTCACAAAACGCACCCGTACATGGCGATGATGGTCTAGGATTTCACGGGGAAAACAACAATGTAGTTGCTCCGGGAGCCGGTGTACTACCGATTAACCCTGGGGAAGTGCCGATTGTGGAACCAGTCGATGTTAGTTCACACATCGCTTTGAATGCGGATTTAGGCACAAATCCCGGTGGAAATATACGCAGGGAAGTCCGATCTGGTGGCCAAGGAACACAGGGTATAGGAGATGGGGGAGTTATCCTCCAAGTAATATTCGAGATGCTACAAGCTCAACAGGTTTCTATCGATCAGCTTCAAAGTCAGCATAAAACTCCAAGTGTGGTCGAACCAGAAAACACTCACCGTACAAAGTCGGTGCCAGAAAGATCGAGCGGTAATGGATCGGGGACTGATCTTGCAATCATGAAGATGCTCGAGGAGATCACCAAAAGAATCGAGTCGGGAGAGAAGAAAATCGAAGATAATGACAAGAGAGTGGAGACATACAACTCTCGTGTTGATCAAATACCGCGGGCACCCCCGATCTTGAAAGGTTTAGATGCCAAGAAGTTCGTGCAAAAGCCATTTCCTCATAGTGCGGCTCCGAAGCCATTCCTAAGAAGTTCCATATGCCAGTTATACCTAAATACAACGGGACGAGCGATCCTAATGAACACATCACTTCATACACATGCGGGATTAAAGGAAACGACTTAAATGATGATCAGATCGAGTCGGTTTTGTTGAAAAAATTTGGAGAAACATTGTCAAAGGGAGCAATGATTTGGTACCACAACTTGCTACCAAATTCCATCGATTCGTTTGCTATGTTAGCAGTCGCCTTCGTGAAGGCACATGCTGGGGCATAAAGGTCGCAACAAGGAAATCGGATGTTTTTAAGATAAGACAAAGGGGTGATGCTGAAACTAGTTCGAGAAGAGCAAGGTACGCAATTTCCTGTTTATTACGTAAATCGAACCTTAGGAGATGCTGAAACTAGGTATCCACACTTAGAGAAACTGGCACTTGCATTAATAAGCACATCTAGAAAGTTAAAACCATATTTCCAGTGTAACCCCATATGTGTGTTAATCACTTATCTTCTTCGAAATATTTTGCATAAGCCCGAGTTATCGGGCCGATTGGCCAAATGGGCCGTCAAACTTGGCGGGTACGATATCGAATATCAACCCCGAACGGCCATCAAGTCTCAAATATTAGCTGACTTCGCGGCCAGTATTATGCCAAGCCTCGTACCCGAAGTGGAGAAAGAACTTCTACTAAAATCGGGTACATCATCGGGGGTATGGACCATCTTCACGGACGGTGCCTCGAATGTAAAAGGGTCCGGGCTTGGCATCGTTTTGAAGCCACGTACATGTAACACTATTAGACAATCTATCAAAACTTCTAGGTTGACTAACAATGAGGCCGAGTATGAGGCCATGGTTGCAGGTTTCGAGCTAGCTAAAAGCTTGGGGGCAGAAGTCATTGAAGCTAAGTGCGTTTCTCTGTTGGTGGTGAACCAAGTAAACAAAAGCTTCAAAGTTCAAAAGGATAGGATGCAAAGATATTTGGACAAGCTACAGGTAACCTTGCACCGCTTCAAGGAGTGGACTCTAGACCATGTACCTCGAGAACAAAACAGTGAGGCCGATGCACTTGCAAACTTGGGGTCATCAGTCGAGGAAGATGATATTATCTCGGGGACTGTCGTCCAATTATCGAGATCTGTAGTCGAGGAGGTTCATGCCGAGATAGATTTTACAAATTTGATTTGGGATTGGAGGAATAAGTATGTTGAATATCTAAAAAATGGGAAGCTCCCATCGGACCATAAAGAATCGAGGGATTTACGAACCAAGGCTGCTCGGTTTACATTGGATGAAGACAGTACATTATACAGAAGGACGTTCGATGGGCCATTGGCGGTATGTTTAGGGCTGGGGACACCGATTATATTTTACGAGAGATCCACGAAGCCACTTGTAGAAACACTCTGGCGCCTAGCCTTTAATTCGCAAAACTGTTAGAGCAGGAAATTACTGTGATAGCATGGCAAGAGATACTAAGGAGTTTGTTAAGATATGTGATAAATGTCAAAGCTTTGTACCAATGATTCATCGGCCCGGAGAACAACTTCATTCAGTTCTGTCCCCATGGCCTTCATGAAATGGGGAATGGACATCGTCGGTCCTCTACCAACGGCCCCAAGTAAAGCTAAGTTCATTTTGTTTATGACTGACTACTTTTCTAAATGGGTGGAAGCACAACCTTCAAGAAGGTCAGGGGAAAAGAAGTTATAGACTTCATCTGGGACCACATCGTCTGTCGATTTGGGATACCTTCCAAAATCGTATGTGACAACAGAAATCAATTCATCGGCAATAAGTTAACGGAGTTCCTCGAAGCACATAAAATAAAAAGGATCTTATCAACGTCGTATCACTCGAGCAAAAACGGATAGGCTGAATCGACAAACAAGACTATCATTCAAAACCTGAAGAAAAGGTTGAACGACGCTAAAGGGAAATGGAGAGAAGTTCTACCCGAAGTTCTTTGGGAAGATCGAACGACATTGAAGTCTAGCACGGGGGGAACCCCGTTCTCTTTAGTATATGGCTCTAAGGCCTTGATTCCAGTCGAGGTCGGGGAACCCACCGCCAGATTTCGACATGCATCGGAGGAATCAAATCATGAGGCTATGAATACTAGCCTCGAGCTAAACAAGAATTTGCACTTGTTCGGATGGCTGCACAGAAGCAAAGAAATCGAGAGATATTATAACAGAAGGACCAACCTTCAACACTTCGAAATCGGGGACTTAGTTCTAAGGAAATTCACCCTCAATACTCGAGACCCCAATGAAGGGAAACTAGGCCCGAATTGGGAAGGACCATATCAA